TTTTCATCCAATCAGAAGTAAAACCAAAGCCAATTGTGACGCGCTCGCATGCATTTTCCCGCGCTTTGCGTCAGCCACATGTAATTACTTCGAGTTTTGATTGGTTCAATGTATTGTCTGTGTCCTATGTGATTGGCCAGAGTAATTACTTTGGTTTTGGTTTTACGACACTCAAACGAAAACCACTCTAAAGCAGGAAGGGTTGTATCAAAACAAGGTCAACTTCAGCCTCATTTCCCCTAGTAACTGTAAAATAGTCTATTGTTCTATTGTCTTGACAGAGCTCCTCTACGGCCAGGAACGATATCAATCACAAGATCATCATACGATCCCACATATGCACCATCTTGCTTCTTGTGATTATTTCAAGGCACACAGATTAGAAATTCAAACCAAAACATATTTGATCCAGCAACTTTCAAGCACGGGCAGTAGAACCTACTCTTCCGCCCGTGCTAGGAAACTTTACGCCCAGGTTTTAGTCGTGCTGTTTTCAGTCCCGATTTCTGTGGATAGCAACTATTCAGTCAACAACTACGTATACTGTAAATAATCTTTTTTTTTTTTCGGCGAATTGTTTCCTGCTAGTAAGTAATCGCAGTTTTCATGACTCTGATAATGGTCTTGTTGAGCGTTTAGAAGATGACTTTCTAACAGCATTCTATAGTTTTTATTGCCATGATACTTTTGAAATTTGATACGTCCGTTAAGTGAGGTACATGTATGAGGATCGGGCGTCGTTTTCGTTGGTTGATTAAGGTCCTTTCCGCCATCTTTATAGCTCCAGTAAAGATACAACTCCGTTCAGAGACGCAGAATCACGAAACCGTATTGAATTAATAGCTGAGTTTAAGATCATAATAGCACACCTGCCAGCTGGTGCGCAGAGGTTCAAAAGCAAAACTGGTCATACCTGTTAACGCAAAAAAGATTATGAAACTGACAGGATTCTCTTTTGAATTCTCCTTACATGCATGTTACAAGCCACTGTATCTGATTTTGGAGATTTGAGTAACGAATCCGAGCCTCATCTGTTTTAGCAACAGCTTAAAATTCTCTCAGTTTGCTTTGATAGATAATTTCCTGCTGTGAGAGAGGACCGTATAGGTTTATCAGTGTAAACTTCAGAAAAAATTTGGTTAAGCTGCCGTTCCTCGGGCAATATCGAATTCTTTAGTTAACGATATGATCCAAGATTTCTATTACATTCTATTTATTTTCGGCGCTGGTTAGGAAGTAAACAAGGAGGAACAATATATTTCACGGCCAACGAATCTAAGTTATTCCAACATGATATTAACCGAGGCATTCACTCAACAAAATACCTAAAGTATTGGGGCAGAGCACTGTTTTAAAAGAGGCCCCAAGTTTGTTTTGTGTAGTCGCGGGTTCAAATCCTCGCTCGACAAAGCTTCTAAATTACCGACCAGTTTTAGCCCGGGTTATATTTGATCATTTACAGGAAGCCTCCCTCCTCCATTGAAAGGGAAAAAGTCCCTAAAAGGAGCTATTAGTACCCATTTATTGTCCACCGTAGTGGTTCATTCTTTAATGTTTTTCTTTAGGTTTATGACCGATGATTTCACTTCAGACATCTACACCAAAGAGGGACTTGAATGGATTCAAAACGCAAATATGAGCAATGTGCTTATCCGGGCATTCCCTGAAATCAAAGGGCTGGAAGAAATGTTGCAAAATGTGGAGAATGCGTTTTTCCCCTGGCCAGTTTGACGACCGAGGATATTAAGGAATTTATCTTCAATGTATTTGTGGGAATACTCTTTGAGTCTGAAATCAAATATGCCGTTGAATATTATCTGGTGATTGGCAATTCTAATCATTATTATACTGATAACAATTTAAGTAAAGGAGCGATTAAAACTTACCTGCTCATTGTCTCTTGTCTCTTCTATAAAACTACATATAACGATATAGTTAAAGTCATTTAAAAATGCTCTGGTTAGCATCAACTGTTGTTGCTTAAAGTCGGTTTCCCAATTCAATTCTCAATCACCAGTCCTGGATATTTACCGAACTGCGAAGCAGTGAGGTAAATATCCACGACTAGCCACCGACACTGAGGTGAATAATTGTTTTAGTATATACTAAAACAAAGAGATAATTGAGAACAAAAACGACGATTTTTAACTCAAATACTGTATCCAACGATTACAATTTTGGCGCGTAATGACCGGGCCGCCGCGGCCGTCGCTTTTTCTTGCCGGCAACTAAAACTTTTGAAGGCATTTGTTTAGCTCTTGCGGGGAAATTTCTTCAAAAGGAGTTGTGAATTATTTTTGTATTTAAAATCATTCTATAACAAAAGATTATTAAATTTAGTTTTAAGCTTAAGTATGAACAACTCAACTAAATAAAGTAAGCAAGACTTAAGCTTCATTTGCATTTGTAAGCAAAAAACTCTTTCACCGGTTTTATCGATAAATTCGCGTCAAAAAGACAAAGCTTTATCTGTTAAAACTTCCAATCCGAACTTCGTCACCTTCTTCGTGTATTTCGGAAACAGCTTGCTTGATTAGTTGTGAAATTTCTTTGTTTGTTTACGGCAGCAAACCGGGAAGGCATTTTGCTTGCAACTTAC